TCACAAATATTCAAAAAATGTTCATCAAAATTTTCAACTTTTTATTCAGAATTTCTAGAAAATTTTCGAATAAGCAGTCCATTCAATTTTAGTTCAATGAAGTGCAAGTTTCAACCGGCTAACCGGTTTGTTTTTTATATAACAAGTACAATTTACAAAAACTGTCGTTGATTNTCAAAATTTAAAGGAAATTTTTTTAATATTTGTGAACTTTATATAAAGTGTGAAACTTTGTTTTATATGGCTTTAGTATAGAATGAACTATAGTTTCATAAATAATTAATGCAAAAAATTTTTCATGAAAATAATTGCGAATATTATATTAGAACAAGGCGTACACTTTCATTTGTCGCCTAGTGTATATCGTACACAGGTAGCTTAGTTGAGCATACAAAATCTTTTTCAAATATACCGGTGTTTAAATGGAACCTATCAGATTTTCTTGTGGCCAATTAATTAACTTGCAACGGAATCGGACTTTCTTATATTCTATGTTCCTTGATTCGACATCGGCTTTGTGCTATTAAACTGTAATAAAACTTGACCTTTTGTTTTTCCTCCTTATAATGATCACTTAGTATGTCGCACAGATTTTTTTTCTTGTTTTCCAGTTCAATGTTAAATTCCTGCTCTTTGCTTATTTTACGATTTTCTTCATTTCCTTTCATTTGATCCTAAAAATATACAGATGTGCAATATGTACATACATATATAACTCAAAGAACTACTTGCTAATTGATTTTTTACCATTATCACTTTTTGTTGATACAACTTCTTACTTTGGTCCACACTCTTCACCCGTGCGATATACAATTTATCCAAAACTGCTGCACGCTTGTCGCTGAAATTAAATATAAATTATAATAAATGCTTAAGAGCCCTATATATAATTTTACTCTTCTGAAAAGTCGTCTCGTAAAGCTTTGTTAATAGTTTTGTTGGTTTGCTTCCGACGCTCGTCAATCCATAAATTTCTTTCCTGGTTGTTTCGCGCAATGGCATTCAGTAGTTTATGCTCCAGATTATCTTGCTCGAGCTTTGAGTAGAGTTGGGTTTTTATGATATTTAGGGGATTTCACTTCCGGAATTAAGTACATTTTTTATGTAAAATAACGGTTCAATGGTTTAAGGGATGCTAATTATATATTTTTTATCAGTTTAAACAAGATTTCAGTGTAGTTATCCTCTAAAACCATGTTAGCGTTATTATACAAACAACAAAATGTAAAGCTTAACACCCAAATTCATAAAAAATAAAATTTTATAAAAATCAGAATATTTGTATGAAAATGTCACTTTATAGAGCTCTATAAATCTATTTTAGTTTTTACGAATAAGGCCATAAGATTTTACGAGAGTTAACACGTCTTGTGAATCCCCTAAATTATTTTTATTAAAGTTCCCGTTTATTTTGTAAGAACAAGTTACCATCTCTTCATTGTAGCGATGAGCGAGATCGACCCACATTTGCTCAATTTCTTTTTCTTTTTGGCACATTTTTTTCTTCTCCTTGATTTGATAGAGTTGCGCTTGTTTAGTATCTAATAACAAGGCTTTGCTATGGGAAAGCCTCGTCTCTTCACAGACTTTCCCTAAAAAAATAATCAATTTCGTACCAATACTTCTAATAATATTTAACATAGAGTTTTTATCTGCACATTTCTCTTTGCAGATTTTTAAGCTCCAAGAACTTCTCGATTTCTAACTCTTGCTCCTTTCTGTGAATACCAAACCATTCGTGTCGTCTTCTGGCAGCTTTCTCGATCCGCGCTTCATGAGTAGAGCCAATCTTCAGAGTACGTCAAATGATCGGACTCCAACACATTTCGTAACCTGGGCCATCAAAATGGGTTCGTTAGCATGCTTTTTACTTACATACATACATATGCACAAAAATATTTTGCTTATGCATATACATATACATACATACATATGTACATAATTATGCACAGTGGTTCTAAGCCAACCGGATACGTAATAATATATTTTTTAACTCATTTCGCACATAAATAAAAAAATATTATTTGGAACTTAAAATATCTATTTGTTTTCTATCGGAAGCCAACATGACTTTTTAACCTTAAATATTAAAGCTGAACATAGCCTTCGGTTAGTACGCGTCTTGTGGGTTACCACATATGTATGTATACATACATATTTTTGTATGGATATAAATACATATCGCTCATTTACTTCAATAGTGTCATATCTCAAAAAAGCAAAACTCTATAAAAACGGCTTTAAAGTTTTGAATTTACATACATATGTATACTCCCTTAGTTAAAATGAATACATACTTGGGGTATTCACAACGGTGTCGTTAGTGTCGTATTGTTGTAACGGGTGATTTTTTTGAGGTTAGGATTTTCATGCATTAGTATTTGACAGATCACGTGGGATTTCAGACATGGTGTCAAAGAGAAAGA